ATATTAAAATAGAAGATAAAGTAGGTAAAATTCTTCAAGACATATGCATAAATGAGAACTTTCTGAACAGAATCCCCATTGCATAAGAAGTAATATCAAGAATGGGATTATATCAAACTAAAAAGTATTTGCACAGCAAAAGAAGCAACCAGTAGAGTGAAGAGACATCCTACAGGGTGGGAAAAAGTTTTACAGTTACTCTTGGATAGAAGACTAACATATAAAATACATAAAGACCTAAAAATATTTAAGACCCCATAAAAATGGGTATTTGAAATGAATAGATGCTTCTCAGAAGAAGTACAAGTGGCTAAAAAATATATGAAAAAAATGTTCATCAACTCTGGCCAGCAGAGAAATGTAAATTGAGGAAACACTGAGATTCCATCTCACTCCAGAAAGAATGACTATCATCAAGAAATCAAATAATCACAAATGCTGACAAAGTTGTGGGAAAAAATGAGTCCTTCTACATGATTGATGGAAATGTTGTACAACCACTTTAGAAATCAGGACAAAAATTCCTCAAAAAGCTAAAAATTGAAATTCCATTCCGCCCAGCTACTCCCTTTCTAGATATCTTCCTGAAAAATTTAAAGACATCATATTATAGCAAGATGTATACACATATTTATAGCATAAGTTTAGCAAAACTCAGTATTTTTATAGCGCAACTGTGCTTAGAGCACAAGTCATAATAGCTAAGTCTTGGAAATGGCCTATATGTCTATCAACAGATGAACGGGTAAAGAAAAATGTGACATTTGTACAAAATGGAATACTACTGTGCCATAAAGAAGGATAAATCTAAGTTATTTTTAGGAAAATGGATGCACCTTGAGACTATAATGGTAAGTGAAATAAATCAGACATGCAAACTTAAATATTATGTGGTTTCTCTTACATGAGAAACCCAAAGTATAAGTAATTTAGAGAGCAAAATAAATGGGAAGGGGATCTAGAGATGGAGGAGAAAAGGAGGGAGGGAGAAGAAGTAAAAAGAATAAAGATGGGGTATGTACATGCACCAATTTCCTCTGATGAATAAAATCATTACATATTGCAAATGTGCACTAATAAATTCCTTCATCTAGGAGGCCATTCTTAGGTGTGATCTGGGCTTTCCTCTCATCCCCGGTCCCCTATGTTAGACTAGGTCCCATTTTAACGTCATTTTAACTTGACTGTCTTATCTTCAATAAGGTTACAGTTTGATATAATTGAGGTTAGAATGCCAACATATTTTTTAGGGAAGACATAATTCAACCCATAAAATACTCTCCTCAAATACCCTGTTTGGGCTCCTCTAGGATAAGTACCAAGTTGAATCCTAATTATCTGCTTGTTTTAGGCTTTCACTTCTCCCTACTTCATCTACTCTTGGTTCCAAGCCTTTTCTCACAGCCCAGCCTCTCCCACTTTTCCCGTCATGGTTATTTTCTTTTCCTCCTACTTTTTGCCTGGAAAATTTCTGCTCACTCTTCATTTCTTACCTTAAATGTTACATCTTCAGAGAAACTTTCTCTGGCCACCCTCTCTTGATTGTACCTTCCTCATGTTATTTGTTCATTCACGATTTTCCCTTGTTTCTTCTTAACAGGTTTCATGTTTTGTAACTATTTATTTACTTGTGTGATTGATTGGTGGGGGTTGACATTAGTGATTCCTAGTCTGAAAGCACAATGAAGATTGGGACCGACTTAGTCACTAGTGGATTTCCAGTGTCACAATGTGTCAGCTGGAGCAGACTTTCCATAAGTATTTGTTAGATGAACTTGGATCTATAATACCTCACATTATGGGATTAGTGAATGCTGAATAAATTATAATTATTTTTGCTTGTGTCCTTCAAGAGACTAAAAGTCCTCAAGGATAGGCTAGGTCTCATTCTTTTATGAATCTTTAGCATCCAACTCCTCCTTCTCTACGGTTTATTTTTTTTTAAACGTCAATTTGTTTTTTTTTAATATCTTTATTTAGGTGTGTGTGTGTGTGTGTGTGTGTGTGTGTGTGTGGCCAGCTCAGCCCACCAGGGGGCGGGGCTGGCTGGTATGTGGTGCTGGGGGATTGAACTGCGGTCCCTGTGCTTTGCTAAGCTTGTTCTAAGTCAGTGCTTTAGACCACTGAGCCATCTCACCAGCCCCTCTATGGTTTATTTTAAATATGAGACGATATCATAGGTAGGTAACTTAGGTAGAAATATTAAGGCAGTCAGCCAGGGTCAGGCCCTCAACCGAGCCAGGGCAAAAGATGAGAACACATCAGAACTGTGGCTGGAGGTGGATCTGTCAAAGACTAGACCTCAAGATAAGGCAGGAATCACTAGGCCTACATGCCTCCATGAGACAGAAAATAACTTCAGATTATCCTATAGACTGTGCCTCTTTGTCTAATAAAGCCCAGATGGACATCAGTTACCCAGCTGGGTGACCAGAGCATCCAGACTCACCCCTTCCTAAAAATGCCTTTGCTCCTTCCATGTACCCTTGCTGGGCGACTTGTAATCTTAGTGGTTGAATATATTTTGATCCGCATTGCACTCATCTCTTCACTTTGCTCTGTAAAAGTGGCCTCTGTGGCAACCCACTTTTGTGTCTCTTCTTGTCTCTCAGGAGCTATCTCTCAAATCTTTCCTACTTTTTTTTTTCAGTACCAGGGGTTTGAACTCCAGACCTTGCTCTTGCCAAGCGAGTGCTTATTCCACTGAGCTATCTCCTTGGCCATTAAATCTTTCCTACTCTTAAACTTCACTGTCCCTTAAAACTTATTCTTTGATTTTGGAGGATACAAACTCAGCATATTGGACTCCTAGCAAGTTGATGAAAGAGAAAAGCTGCACAAGAAAATTTAAAAAAACCCAAAAAACAGGAATCAAACTCAGGACCTTGTGCTTGCCAGACAGGCACTTGTGCTGCTGTGCTATATTCCTGGCCTGAAACTGTTCTTTTAAAAACTTTGTTTTTTTGAAACTGCCTAGTTCCGTAACTGCTTCAAGGCTTTGTAATTTCTTGACTCCTGTCATCATGAGAGTGCAACCAAACATACAGGGTACTTGATTGTACCAGGCTTTTTTGGTCATTAATCTAGTCTTGTAACTGATGGTCGTTAATCCAGCCCTGTAACCAATGATCTTGCCTTGCTAGCTAATCAGAAGAACTGCCAGGCTGTTTTTTTATGCCTCCTGTTTGGGCATCACCTAAAAGCCCAAGACCACCAGAGATGGGAGCCTAATATTCTGGAAATGACCTCAATCATTGCGTGTCAATGTAAACAAATCTGCCTCCAAATCCTGTGTGTTGTTTCCTCATTTCTGTTTGCCTTTGCCTCAGGAGCTGTATTTCCCCTGTATCAGCATGATAAATTACTCTGCAGTTTAGGAGCTTATAACAATATTGCTTCAAATTTCTGTACAATTTATGGGAGTCAGGAATGTGAGTGATTTTGCTAGATGTTTCCAGATCAAAGCCCCCCATAAGGTTATATTTAGGACTTCCATCAGGATCTCTGTCCTCTGTGCCAAGACGGAACTCCCAAGGTAGCTCATGCATTTGGGTGGCAAGTTGGAGCTGCTTGTTGTCAGGAGACTGGGTGATCCCTACCCATGTTTGCGGAAGTGTCCTCCCAGCATGGGATTTCCCATGAGTTATCAAGAGAGAGCAAAGAGGAAGTTCTGTGTCTTTTTCTGAAACTCATGCTTCTACCACTGGTCAGCCATATTGAATGCAAAAGAGATTACAAAAGGTGGAGTATAGGGAACCAAAAACCCTAGTCCATGCAGACTGGTTACTACACTCATCTAAACTAGATCTTTTTTTCCCAACTACTTGCCCCCCTCATTCCTCAATCATACTGTTGTTAGTTATCAAATTATATGATTCCACATTCATTTAGTTATTTCACTCTGTCACCCTCCATCCCTCTAACAGACTATTATCTGGTGGATTTTTTTTTTTCACCTAAAGTACATTTATTGAATGAAAGAAGGAAATTTTAAAAAAAAATGTATTTAGTACAGGGTCTACACGGTGTCATTACACAGATCAGACTTGTAGTGATTCTCCTGTTTTCAGCCTCCCAAACTCTGGGATTACAGGTGTGTGCCACCACGCCCAATCTCTGTTACCATCTCAGCATGTCCCCCGGGGTTGGGCCAGCACAGCACACTGAGGCTCAAATCTGGTCCTTGCATCTGTGTAAGCAGGTGCTTTAATCTGCTGAGCTATCTGGCTGGCCCCTAAAAGAAGGAACATTTATTTATTTTTTTCCATAATTTTATTGAGAAACAAACAGCAGTGAGACAGTTTCAAATCAAATTGGTAGGACAGTTTCAAAAATTAACACATTGCATACTCTCTTTCTAGTGGTTATTTGCTGTACAAGATGCAGACATGATATCCTATTTACAAACATCTGTTGGTTACAAACATCTGTTGGATTTTTTTTTAACTAAATATAATGATTTACTTTTGCCTGAATTACAGCAAGTGTTTCTGATTATTTCCCTTCTGTTTGCTTTCCTTTAAGCAAACAATTTTTTTTCCTTTCTTTTCTTTTTCATTTTATGTATTTGGAACAGGGTCTCACTACGCAGCTCCGACTCGTAGTGATCCTCCTGTTTTCAGCCTCTCCAGCGCTGGGATTACAGGTGTGCACCACCACGCCTGGATTTGGCGTTGCCCATTTAGCACAGCCCAAGGGCATTTAATCCGTAGAGCTATCTTGCCGGCCCAATCAAATAAATGTTTAGAGCTAAGTGATAAAAAGTTTGGTGAACCCAGAGAGTCTAGATCTCTCTTCCCTAAAATTCTGTGTGCCCAAGCTCAGAACCACACAGCAGGGGACAAAAGTCTGACCAAGCGCAGCAGCCAAGATCGCCACAAACCTAGCAACGCGGGGCGCGCCGGACTGAAGCTTCCGGTTGCTTGGGGCGCGTCACTTCCGGGGCGTGGGGTCGTGTGGAATTACTTCCGGGAGCGGCGCGGCGGCTCAGGAGGTAAGCTGTACGTTTTGCCAGGTGATCGGATTTTCGCGGTGCTCGGGGTTGGAGCGGCAGCGGGGGCTGAGAGAAAGGGTGGGTCTGGTGCCAGGACAGGCCCTGCGCAGCAGGAGGCGTGAATAGCTTTCCCTGGCGTGTGCTGGGACGTTCCTTGCCGTGGGAAGTTGGAATTCCAGTTGGGCCGAAGGCCTTGCCGGGTGCTGTCCACCCTTCAGTTCGGAGCGAGCCTGGGTCGGAACTCGGGCTCGACGGCCACGTCCCGGCCTTTCCCTCCGCAGGTGGAGCCGCACCTCAGGAGACTGGCAGGGGCTCGGATCCCGAGTTCGCCCCGCATTGCTCTGTGAACCCTGGTCAAGGCTTCTTTCCTTTGGTTCTCATTTTATCTGTGTAAGCCGGGCATATAGACTTGTTCCGAGAATTAAATGAGACAGTGACTGTAAAGTGCTCGGGTGTTGAGTGGAGTTTGAGGTGAAGTGATTCTCTGAATATATAGTCTCCCCCTGAATTCCCGCTGTTTCACTTACCTGAGTAAATGGAAAAACTCCCCAAATAAGCAGGTTGTAAGTTTTAGATTTGTATTCTGAGTAGTATGATGACATCTTGAGCCTTTCCTCTGCCCTGCCTTGACTGTAGTCATCCCTTTGTATAGCAAATCTGAGCTGTATAGGTCACCCACTCATTAGTCTCCTGATAGCCATCAGCAATGCAATACCACAGTGTTCGTGTTGAACCCTTATTTTACTTTATAATGGGCCCTAGACTCAAGAGTAACGATGCTAGCAATTTGAACATAGCAAAGAGAAGCTGGAAAATGTTTCCTTTAAGTGTACAGGTAAGCATTCTGACTTAAGGAAAGAAAAAAAAAATCACACGCAGATGTTGCTAAAATCGATGGTACAAATGAATCTGTGAGACTATGAAGAAGCAGAAACTGGTGATGGTTTTGCTGTCACCCCTCAGACTGCAAAAGTTGCAACGAAAAAAAAGTTACAGCGAAACTGTGTGATAGGTGCTTAGATAAGATGGAGAAGATGTTGAATTTATGGGTAGAGGACAAACAACATGTGTTCCACTTAATGGAAATGTGTTGCTCCAGAAAGCTTTGAGTTTATTTTTTAAATTTTTTTATTTTTTTGTGGAACCGGGGATTGAACTCAGGCCCTTGCACTTGCCAGGCAAGTGCTTATTCTACTGAGCCATCTCCCCAGCCCCAAAGCTTTGAGTTTATATGGAAACATTAGCAAGGAGCCCCTAAAACAAGTGATATGAAGCTATTTCCTGTAAGTAAGGGATGCCTATATGGTCCAGGAATAGATTTGAATTGAAAAATTGCTGGAGTAGCTGCATCCCCTAATAAAGGAGCCTCTACCACATTTCCAGCAGAAGTGGAAAAGGGTTTTAAAAGATTTCCAGCAGAAGTGGAAGAACATATTGAAGACCACTCAGAAGTATTAAGTTGTGGAATTGGAAAACAGTCTTCTATACAGAGGGGAAGGATAAGAATCTGAAGCAGTAACAATGTGGACATTATGGCAATTTTCTTAAACACTTTTTTTCTTCACGTATTTAGTACAGGGTCTACAGGGTCTCACTACATGTATCAGACTTGTAGTGATCCCTCCTGTTTTCAGCCTCCTAAGGGCTGGGATTACAGGCTCGCACAACCATGCCTAGTCTATTGTGGAAATTTTCTGAAGTGTTACAGACAGGAAAGGACAAAATTAGGGAATACCATCCTTGGGTGGAACACAGTGTAAAAGTCCCCCAGATGATCACTGAAGGATTATAGCCTCTACAGCAACACTTTGATGAATTAAAGAGACAATTCCCATTACAGTGTGATGTCCACAAAAACCTTCAACTATAGCAAATTCCTAACCATCAGCAGCATTTGCTCCTGATATCCAGTCATCCACATGGATATGGCTCAGATCCAGGACCACTGAAGCAGCTTGTCCTTCTGACCTCAGAAGGTCAGTGATAGCCTTACCCACATTACAGTACCTGTGTCACTAACATCATCACATCATGTAGGTGTTATATCATCTTACACTACAAGAAGGATAAGTACAGAAAAGATTTTGAAAGACCATATTCACATTTTATTCCAGTATATTGTTAGAATTGTACTGTTTTTAGTTGATTTTAATCCCTTACTGTATCTAATTTGTAAATTAAACTTTATGAAAAGGAAAAAATATATTTTAACATGCAGTATTATCTGTGGTTAACAGCTGTCTACTAGGGGTCTTAGAATATATCACCCATGGACATGTATCTCATACATAATGTGAACTACTGTATAGAGTCTCGAATCTTTTAAACCCAGGCATAGTGGCACACACCTGTGATCTCAGCACTTAGGAGGCTGAGGCAGGAGGATTGTTATGAGCTCAAGGTCAGCTTGAGTTGCATAGTGAGTGCAAGCCCAGCCTGAAATATACGGTGAGTCTTTGTCTCAAAAACTAGACAAACAAAAAACTACATTCTTGCTTTATAAGTAGTCACAACAAATTTGAACTAATATTGTTATTAGATAGAGATGAAGGTATAAGCCTGTAATCCCAGCTGCTTGGGAGACTGAGGCAGAAACATCACAAGTTTAAGCCCAGTCCAGGTAATTTAGCAGTGTCCTATCTCAAAAAAAAATTGGGGATTTTTTTGTAGGCACCATGTGCCTACCATGTGCAGCCCTGGGTCTCATCCACAATACTGCCAAATAAAAAGTTAGTTTTAGTTGTTTTTTGTTTTTTTTGTTTTTTTGAAAGACATGTGCCTAACAATTTTCATTTACCACACTACTGATTCTGGCCTGGGAGATAGCTCAGCAGCTTTGGGAATTTGTTATAGTGGGATAAAATCTGGATATATAGCACATTTCTTTGTCAGTACCTCTTGATGCTGGTTTTTAATCCCTAGTCAGTTTCAGTTGAATTCTCAGACAGAACTTGAAAATTTTGTTAGAAGCCATGAATTCTCAGAACAGAACTTGAAAATTTTGTTAGAAGCCAAGAATCCCCCAGCCTACATACTGTACACCTTTGGGGGAAAGTTTGGAAGGTGATGTAGCCTCTGGCAATTTTGGAAACTGGCCTTTTCAGTCTTAGAAGACATTTATTTAGTATTTGCAAAGACTTGAGAGGTATACATGTCTCCATGGTTATTTATTTTGAAATGACCTTTTTTTTTTTTTTTTTTTTTTTTTTTTTTTTTTTGTATTTTAGGGAAAGGTGTACAGGATGTTCAGGGTCTCACTACTAGATCGGACTCATAGTGTTCTGCCTGTTTACAGCCTCCCAAGTGCTGGGATTACAGGCATGCTCCATGCCCAGTCTCAATTGCCATCTCAATTTGCCCCAGGGTGGGGCCAGCATGGCAGGCCCGGGGATTGAACCCCTGGCCCCTGCGCCTGATTGCAGGCACTTTAATCCGCTGAGCTATTTGGCTGGCCCTATGTTGACTTATTTTTAAAACCTTATTTTAGAACTTCAGATTTACAGTTACAGTGAAGAAACTATAGTGAATTCTTATATGGTATATTTGTCAAATTAATGAATCAGTACTGATATATTATTATGAACTAAAATCTATATTTTATTCAAATTTCTTCAGTTTTCCCCTAACATTCTAGTATCCCGTCAAGGATTCCACAATATTCCCCTCCCACCCCACCCATGGTACTGTACTGGGGTTTGAAGACATCACTTCTCATTAAACTACATCCTTATCCCTTTTTTATTTATTTTTTTTTTAGACAGTGAGTTTCTAACTAAAATGCCAGGTCTGGGCTTGATTTTACAATTTTGCTTCAGCTCTAGAGTGCTGGGATTACAGGTGCATACCACCTGCCCAGTCCACAGTCATTTATTTTATTTTATTTTATTTTATTTTATTTTGGCAAGAGATTTTTTAATCAAGTTGAACTAAATCTGTGCAAACATTTTGTAGCCTGGTAACCAGAATCCTGTAGAAACAGAATAAAGTCAGCATTCACCTGTAGGTCTATTACATCCTTTAACATCTTACCAACAGAAAGATTGATTTTAGGAGGCATTATGCCAAGCAACACAATTTTTAGTTTTGGCAATGAGCAGAGAAAGCATCCTTGGCCTCATGCGTACTTAGCATGCACACTGCAATGAGCCACAACTCCATTCCTAGGATATCAACTTATTTTTGTCTTAAATTCTTTTTTTCTTGTCTTAAATTCTTAATATGATAGTTCATCTATTACCACATAGACCCAACATTTCCATTGTAAAAATCTAGCACAAATTAGAATTACAGATCTTTATTTGAAAATCTGATCTGCCAATTTAGCGTTTTCCACCAACTCATGGAGCAGAATCTTTCCCAGGCTTCCCAGTCCTCTGCTTAGGTGCTGCCCTTATGGGAGCCTTAGCAGCAGTCATCACAGTCTTTTTAGATGCTTGCTTAGCCTTTTCTGCTTCCTTGGCAGCCCTGATAGCTTATTCTCTTTGGGCCTTTCTAACTTCTGGTTTCTGATTCCTCTTGGCCATTATGTCAGCAAGAGATGCACCAGTGATGGCCCTCTGAAATTTGACTGCTCATCATGTTCTTTTGTTTTGAATTTCTTCCTACTGTCCCTTTTTATGCTTTCTTCTGTAGAGGACAGTCCAGTTTATTTGCCGAGGATTTCTCTTGGAAAGGAATGCAGACTCTCATTTTGCATTCAGAAACTGGAAGACCTTCCGGTCGGTCCTGGCGTACGCCTCCCGTGTCCCGGGTAGATCTTGTACCCGCTGAAGCTGCACAGCTCAACCTTCATGGTGGCAGCCAGCAGTCAAGGTGGAAGATGGCAAAAAGCTTTTTAAATACTTTTTTTTTTTTTGGTACCAGGGATCAAACTCAGGACCTTGCATTTGCCAGGCTAGCACTTACCCAACTGAGCTATCTCCCTGGCCCCCCACAGTCATTTAGTAGTTCTGTCTCTTCAGACTCTTCTGGGCTGTGGCAGTTTCTCAGACTTTCCCTTTTTTGAATGGATCTGACAGTTGTGAGGATTGCTGGTCCATTTATTTTATGGGTTTTGGGGAGGAAGACCACAAAAGTTA